AAAAGACTCTGTCTCAAAAAAAAAAAAAAAAAGAAAAAGAAAAAGACTTTCCCAGCTGGGCTGGGCGAATAGCTTGCCCATGGTCATACCACAAATGAGTAGCCAAAGCCCAGGGCTCCTGATACCTGGAGCAGAGGCCTCTCTATATAAATTCTCACTTCCATTTAGAGACACTGTATGATCTTTATAGAATCTGAGCAGGAGCAAGCACAGTTTGCACACAAAAAACTATCTTCAAAATAAGAGTATTTTTTGTAGAGTACCAACTAAATGCCAGGTACAGTGGGGGACATAGAAGCATAAGACCCAATCACGTACACACAGGAAGTGAAGGCCGAGTTACTCCTAAAACTCTTTCAAGGTGGCAGGGGACCTCCTCAGAGCTATCACTAACCCTGTTCTGACCCCACAGTGAGTGCCATGCAAATCAACCCTGCCGTCTTAAGAAGTGAAAGTTAAATTAGATTCTTGACTGGGAAAAGTAGGAGACAGAGAAAAGGCAGCTAAGGCTAACTCAGTTGGCTTTTCTCACGTGACTCAAGTTTAGGACACCTATTTTCCCCAAGCAGAGAAGCCCACAAGCAATCAAAGCAAGAGAGCTTGCTGGGGCTGGGAGGCAGAGTTTTAGTCCATTAGGGCTTTTTGTCCTCATCCTTCCAGAGAAATGAAACAAAAAACGACATATAAAATAGGAGCCCAAATTTCCTCTTAGGTTTAGCATATCTAAAATTGCTCCAAGTTGCTATAAAAATTTCTAAACACTTCTATTTTCGCAATTATCTTATTTCAGAAGGACAACAGTTTGTAGACTGATGCCAATCCTGGCCCATACTTGGAGTGAACTGCCCTGAAGACATCTGGGGACCCTTTGGCCCCTAGAAATCCTTTGGTAGAGGGATCTCTGAGCTCCACTTCCTACCCAAACCAGGTCCACGGTGCTGGGAAGTGATCTGGATGCTGTGATGGTCACAGGATAGAATCACAACTGGGACTGTCCATCTATGCTTTCCTCTGAACTTCTCTTTTTTTTCTTCTTCTTCTTATTTATTTATTCTCCTCCTCATCCCCGGCCTCCTCCTCTGAACTTCTCTAGTCTTCCTTTCCCAGCTGTAGGAAAGAGCTTCACCAACAAAGAAAGACTTCCACCCCTTTATTCTAGTCCCCAACCATATCCAATGGTACCCACTAGGATCACAGACAGGTTCTTTCGTTCATTTATTCAGGCGCCTTCCTAAGCACTAAGAACCCAAAGTGAACTTAAAAGACAGATTTCTGGATGGGTGCAGTGGCTCACGCCTATAATCCCAGCACTCTGGGAGGTCGAGCAGGTGGATTACCTGAAGTAAGGAGTTTGAGACCAGCCTGGCCAACATGGTGAAAGCTCATCTCTACTAAAAATACAAAATTATCCAGCATGGTGGTTCATGCCTGTAATCCCAGCTACTGGGGAGGCTGACGTAGGAGAATTGCTTGAACATGGGAGGCAGAGGTTGCAGTGAGCTGAGATCACGCATTTGCACTCCAGCCTGGGCAACAAGAGCAAACTCTGTCTCAAAAAAACTAAATAAAAGACAGATGTCATGGCCGGGCGTGGTGGCTCACGCCTATAATTCCAGCACTTTGGGAGGCTGAGGCGGGTGGATCACGAGGTCAAGAGATCGAGACCATCCTAGTCAACAAGGTGAAACCCCCGTCTCTACTAAAAATACAAAAATTAGCTGGGCATGGTGGCACGCACTGTAGTCCCAGCTACTTGGGAGGCTGAGGCAGGAGAATTGCTTGAACCCAGGAGGCAGAGGTTGCGGTAAGCTGAGATCGCACCACTGCACTCCAGCCTTGGTAACAAGAGCGAAACTCTGTCTCGAAAAAAAAAGACAGATTCCTGCCTAAGAAGCTGAAGTCCTAGTAACAAAGTGGTATCAGAAAGAAAGGCTTCAGTGGTTTACACCTGTAATCCTAGCATTTTGGGAGGCCAAGGTGGGCAGATCACTTGAGCCCAGGAGTTCAAGACCAGGCTGGCCAACATGGCAAAACCCCTTCTCAACTAAAAATACAAAAATTGGCCAGACACGGTGGCCCATGCCTGTAATCCCAGCACTTAGGGAGGCCGAGGCAGGCAGATCACGAGGTCAAGTGATCAAGACTATACTGCCCAACATGGTAAAACCCCATCTCTACTAAAAATACAAAAATTAGCTGGGTATGGTGGCATGCACCTGTAGTCCCAGCTACTTGGGAGGCTGAGAATGGAGAATCACTTGAACCTGGGGGTGGAGGTTGCAATGAGCCAAGATTGTGCCATTGCACTCCAGCCTGGCGACAGAGCAAGACTTCATCTCAAAAAAAAAAAATTAGCCAGGTGTGGTGGTGTGCGCCTGTAGACCCAGATACTTGGGAGGCTGAGGCAGGAGAATCCCTTGAACCCAGGAGGCAGAGCCTGCAGTGAACTGAGATCGCACCACTGCGCTCCAGCCTGGGCAACAGAGTAAGCCTCTGTCTAAAAAAAATAATAATAAAGAAAAGAAAAGAAAGAAAGAAAGGCATCAGTCTTCCCAAATATAGCTCTGGGTGGCCCAAAGGTTGGTTCTCAGACATATCAGAAATCAACTAATTGGAGATCTAACCCTCAGATATAAAAGGATAAGTTTGTGGGCTGGGCACAGTGGCCCATGCCTGTAATCCCAGCTCTTTGGGAGGCCGAGACAGGTAGATCATGAGGTCAAGAGACCAAGACCATCCTGGCCAACATGGTGAAACCCTGTCTCTACTGAAAATACAAAAAAATTTAGCTGGGCATGGTGGCACACACCTGTAGTCCCAGCTACTTGGGATGCTGAGGAAGGAGAATCACTTGAACCTGGGGGCGGAGGTTGCAATGAGCCAAGATTGTGCCACTGCACTCCAGCCTGGCGACAGAGCAAGACTCCATCTCAAAAAAAAAAGGATAGATTTGCTAGGAATGAAGGAAATTTACTAGCACTTACTTTGCTAGAATGTGGTGGAAGGGACTGATACAGAGACGAACTCTGAAGTGTCCCTGCTCCATGGTCCCACAGTTCTATCACCTCACAGCCTGGAAGGGAGTGGGAGGGATGGTGCACTCACTGGTTTGGGTAAATGAGTAGGTGGGGGCCCCAAATGGCATTGCTTTATGATTATTAACAGCTTGGGGAGGAGGCAGGGCAGAGAGTGGAGGCTCACTGACAGATGAGGACATTGTAACTCCAAGAATAGGTGACCTGCCTTCAGGGTTAAGGACCCAACCTGCTGTGGCCTACGTGATTCTGAGCAATGGGCCAAAGAAGCAGGAAGAGACAAAATTGACATATAGAATAAAGAAAGCTCAAGGGTAGGAGAGAAGCTTCAGCCTCTCTCTCAGTCTGGGAGGGAAGGGCTGGAGGGGCTGGGCAGGGCGGGGCTTTCCTCGAAAACTGAGTCCCTCCTCCCGGATCCCCCCATTGGATCAGTGGCTCCTGCAGCCCTGCCAGTGAGAAACAAATGAGAAGCGCTGCTGATTTTCCCCCTTGGCCATTCAGAATTTTCTCACATAAATACTGAGGAAGACTCTGCCCTCTCCTCATTTCTCTGGGCTTGGCCCTGAGCTGGACCTGGTCCACAGGGGTAGGCAGGGTGATGGGGAACCTGTTTGTGCTCTGGGCAGCTGTGGGCATATGCTGTGCCACATTCAGAGCCTCTGCCTGGTAAGTCCTTTCCTACCCTCATTCCAAGCCCCCACTGCCTCATCCCCATTCACCTCTGCCTCACTTTTTCTCTTTTTGGTAGGTCAGTGAACAATTTCCTGATAACAGGTCCGAAGGTAGGATGATCTCCGGCTTCCTTTACCCACTGAGGGCCCTAAGGGGACTCTTCTGGAGAAAGAGGGGAGGGGACAGTGTCAGAGAGCCTCACTCAGAGGAACCCATAGTGAATTGTCGATGGAGAGCTGGCCTATCTGAGTCCTGCCTGCTCCCCCCATCCTAGATGGCCCACACCGGGCAGATGCTCACAGCCAGTTTCCCTTTGCCAGGCTTATCTGACCTACACAACTAGCGTGGCCTTGGGTGCCCAGAGTGGCATCGAGGAGTGCAAGTTCCAGTTTGCCTGGGAACGCTGGAACTGCCCTGAAAACGCTCTCCAGCTCTCCACCCACAACAGGCTGAGAAGTGGTAAGTTTGTGCGGGACTCACCTGTGCAAGGGGCATATATGTGAATGGAGAGGGGCTTGCAGTATGTGTGTATGTGTGCCATGTGTTGCACAGTGAAATGAAAATGCTGCCGGTGACCTGCTGACCTGCCTTTCCTTGCTGTGTGACCTTGAGTAAATTACTTCCCCTCTCTCAACCCCAGATTTGTCATTTGGGTCGGTAAGGCCAGTTCTGTGTAGTTCATCAGAAGTATCCTAAGGGTTGAATGAGGTGGATATGAGATGTCTCTATTTATGAGATAAATATAGGAAATTATTATTATTTTTTTTTGAGATGGAGTCTCGCTCTTATTGCCCAGGCTAGAGTGCAATGGCATGATCTCGGCTCACTGCAACCTCCACCTCCCGAGTTCAAGCGATTCTCCTGCCTCAGCCTCCTGACTATCTGGGATTACAGCCATACATCATGCCCAGCTAATTTTTGTATTTTTAGTAGAGAAGGGGTTTCACCATGTTGGCCAGTCTGGTCTTGAACTCCTGACCTCAGGTGATCCACCCACCTCAGCCTCCCAAAGTTCCGGGAATTACAGGCGTGAGCCACTGTGCCCAGAGGAAATGACTCTACCTTTTTTTTTTTTTAAGACGGGGTTTCACCATGTTGGCCAGGATGGTCTTGATCTCCTGACCTTGTGATCCACCAGCCTCGGCCTCCCAAAGTGCTAGGATTACAGGTGTGAGCCACCATGCCTGGCGAAATTACTCTATTTTTTAAATGCATGCATATATTTATGTGTTTGTACACACTGATCTTGCACTGAATTGCATGAAATAAAAATGGGGAAATGGCTTTGTGTTTGCAGCCCCTGAGGAAGTTTCACGTGGCTAACTGCCATAAAATTCCAACAACAGAAAAGCTGAGATGTCACATTGAGCTGGGCCTCAGGTGGGGTGTGTGTCTGTGTGTGTGTATGTGTGTGTGTGTGTGTGTGTGTGTACCCATGTAGCCACTGTATGCCATAGTTTGCATGTCATTTTTGAAGATAATATTCACCTGAGAATAGTTAGGGGAAAGAGAATAAAGAAGAGGGAGAAAGTGGCCAAGCATGGGCTGGGATCATGCCTATAATCCCAGCACTTTGGGAGGCTAAGGCAGGAGGATTGCTTGAGTTCAGGAGTTTGAGATCAGCCTGGGCAACATAGCAATACCTTGTCTCTACTAAATAAAAGTAAAAAAATTAGCTGGCATGGTAGCATGTGCCTGTAGTCCCAGCTACCTGGAAGGCTGAGGTGGGAGAATTGTTGGAACCCAGGAGTTCGAGGGCATAGTGAGCTATAATCACACCACTACACTCTGGTCTGGGTGACAGAGCAAGACCTCGTCTCAAAAAAACAACAAAAAACAAGAGGATAGAAGGAACTATCTCCCTGTGGGGTATAACATAGAATAGGGAGTATGTAGAAATAAAATGTGACAATGTTTATAAAAAACTTTAGTAAGATAAAAAAATTAAAATAAAATAACAAAAACAAAAAAAAAGAAAAAAAACTTTAGCAAGATAAGAGCTCAGTAAGTGGCAGTCATGATTATTATGATTATTACATGGCCCAAGCTTCCCAGTCAGAAAGCAGAAAGGGTCCTTCTCCCTCTCCTAAGCCAGCCTCAGGCCCTGCGTCTCACTGCCTAACGACTAGCAGCAGTGGCTAGTGGACAGAGGTCCAGGCTGGACTCGAAGGGAGCAGGGTCCTGATCCCAACACCGCAACTAGAAAGTGGTCTCATTCTCATCATTCTTTTTTTTAAGATAGGGTTTCCCTCTGTCGCCCAGGCTGGAGTGCAGTGGCATGATCTCAACTCACTGCAATCTCTGCCTCCCAGGCTCAACCAATTCTCCAGCCTCAGCCTCCTGAGTAGCTGGGACTATAGGCATGCATCCCCATGCCTGGCTAATTTTTATATTTTTTTGTAGAGACAGGGTTTCGCCAGGTTGCCCAGGCTGGTCTCGAACTCCTGGGCTCAAGTGATCTGCCCACCTCAGCCTCCCAAAGTGCTGGGATTACATTGGTCTCATCATTCTATCTCTGGTTTTTACTTTCCCTATTGGTAATATAGGGATGCTCATTCCTGCCTGGATGAAGTAGGGAGACTGGAAAGATGCATTGTTCTTTCAAATAGAAGTGCATTGGCTGGACGCAGTGGCTCACACCTGTAATTCCAACTTTGGGAGGCTGAGGCAGAAGGATTGCTTGCACCCAGGAGCTCAACTCTAGCCTGGGCAACATAGTGAGACCCTATTTCCAATAAAATAATAATAGGCCAGGTGTGGTGGCTCATGCCTATAATCCCAGCAGTTTGGGAGGCCAAGGCGAATAGATCAGTTGAGCCTGAGGAGTTCTAGACCACTCTGGCCAACATGGTGAAACCCCATCTCTACCAAAAAATAAAAAATAAAAAAAATTAGCCAGGTGTGGTAGCATGTACCTATAGTCCCAGCTATTCGGGAGACTGAGGCAGGAGAGTCATTTGAACTTGGGAGGTGGAGGTTGCAGTGAGCCAAGATCACACCATTGCACTCCAGCCTGGGTAACAGACTGAGACTCTGTCTCAAAAACAAAAACAAAAACAAACAACAGGCCAGGCATGGTGACTCATGCCTATCATCCCAGCACTTTGGGAGGCCGAGGCGGTCGGATCACAAGGTCAAGAGATTGAGACCATCCTGGCCAAAATGGTGAAACTCAATCTCTATAAAAATACAAAAATTAGCTGGGCGTGGTGGCAGGTGCCTATAGTCCCAGCTACTTGAGAGGCTGAGGCAGGAGAATCACTTGAACCTGGGAGGTGGAGGTTGCAGTAGGCTGAGATCACATGACTATACCTGGTGACAGGGCGAGACTCCATCTCAAAAAAAAAAAGAAAGAAAAGCATCCTCTTAAACCCAAAGGAAGTGGGAGATAAGGGAGAGAAACAACATTATTTTTCCAAAGCCTCTGCTTTGGGTGATCAGGGTCCAAGTTTCCAGTCAATCCCCTCTCTCTCTCCAAAGCCACCAGAGAGACTTCCTTCATACATGCCATCAGCTCTGCTGGAGTCATGTACACCATCACCAAGAACTGTAGCATGGGTGACTTCGAAAACTGTGGCTGTGATGAGTCAAGAAATGGAAAAACAGGTAAGTTGGGCTTTCTAATGGGGATGGGAAGAGGTGAGGGGCTACAGAGCTGAGTGCAGGCTAGTCTTTCAGGAAAACATTAACGAACACAGCTCCCTTAAACCTCAAGACTCCAGCAAGGAGTCTAATCTCAAGACTCAAAGACTAGGATTTCCTAGTTTTACACTCTCAGAGTTGAGCCTGGGTCCATGAGTCCAGGTGTTAGCAGGTAGCTCTAAAAGCAACAAGTCAATTAGAAATGAGAGTTAAAGCTAGCCCTGGTATTTCAAACTTGGAGTGGCTCATCCATAATCCACAGCCACTCAACAATTTGCAGACCACCTAAGACACTTCCTCAGATTTACCACTAATGAGGGAGGCTTTTACAAGATGATTGTAGAATAATGGTGCAGAATTCCAGAATGTTTGAGCTGCAGTGAACCTTTGAGAGCATCTAAGTCACCCCAGTGTGCCTACTTTTACAGTGGGTATAGAAGACTAATTGCTTATGGCTAGGACGTGTCTAAAGGATGGGCAGTTGGCTTTGGCAACAGGACTCCTCCCACCCACCCCAAGCACTTTCATTTCCCTGTCTTACCTTCAGCCATGGCTTTACACTCCTAGGGCTCTTGGGGATGGTTTGGCAGGTGACTGGGACTTAGCAGGGAGATACATGGAGAACTTATTCTTTTTTGATATCTAGGAGGCCATGGCTGGATCTGGGGAGGATGCAGCGACAATGTGGAATTTGGGGAAAGGATCTCCAAACTCTTTGTGGACAGTTTGGAGAAGGGGAAGGATGCCAGAGCCCTGATGAATCTTCACAACAACAGGGCCGGCAGACTGGTGGGTATACGAGTTGTGGCTGGTGTTGGCAACAGCTTCACATCTGCGCAACCCTTCACAATTTACCAAGAGCCATCCTATACGTTCTTTCCTCATACTACCCAGCAGGACTGAGATGTCTACCCTCATTCTCTGGATGGCAAAGCCAATGAAGTCTGAGCCAACTGGCTTGTCCAAGGCAACTAATAAGTGTCAGAGACAGGCAGTGAACTTAGATCTTCCCGTCAAGTCCCCTTGTCATTATCTGCTGGCTCTGCCCCTCTATAGGTGGGCGTCTGAGAACACACAATCAAGGCCTTGCTTCTATGACTTACATTTTTTATCACTTCAACTGCATGTTCTAGTAAATTAACAGGGCCTTGTTGTCCAGCCTTGTGTCCTAAAGTCTGTCTGGGTTGTGGGGAATTGGGATTGATCTAGGCTTCTCTGGAGTGTCTAACTCTCCCCCAAGACTTCTAGTGGGGTGGCAATCTCTGGAGTATTCTGAATACAAATCTGGAAACAAGTTGGATTTCGAGCTAAGGGCATAGAAATTTCCCTGTCAACTTGTACCTAGATGTCCTGGTTGCCCAGGGAAAGGGAGAAAGGGGTTTTTTTGGGTTTGGGGTTTTTCTTTTTTTTTTTTTTTTTGAGACAGGGTCTTTCTCTGTCACCAGGCTGAAGTACAGTGGTGCCATCTCAGCTCACTGCAACCTCCACCTCCCAGGCTCAAGCCATCTTCCCACCTCAGCCTCCTGAAAACCTGGAACTACAGGCGCTTGCCACTATGCCTGGCTAATTTTTGTGGCTTTTGTAGAGATGGGGTTTCCCCAGGCTGGTCTCAATCTCCTGGACTCAAGCAATTCTCTTGCCTTAGCCTCCCAGTGTCTTGGGATTACAAGCATGAACCACTGCATCCAGCCAGGAAGAGGGTTTTTTTTTTTTGTTTTTTTTTGTTTTTTTTTTTTGAGACAGAGTCTCACTCTGTCACCCAGGCTGGAGTGCTGTGACACGAACTTGGGCTCACTGCAACCTCTGCCTCCTGGGTTCAAGCAGTTCTCTTGCCTCAGCCTCCTGAGTAGCTGGGACTGTAGGCACATGCCACCATGACTGGCTAATTTTTTGTATTTTGGTAGAGACGGGATTTCATCTTGTTGTTCAGGCTGGTCTCAAATTCCTGAGCTCAGGCAATCCACCTGCCTCAGCTTCCCAAAGTGCTGAATTACAGGTCTCGGGCCCTGAGCCCAAGCCGATTTTTTGTATTTTTAGTAGAGACGGGGTTTCACCATGTTGACCAGGATGGTCTCGATCTCTTGACCTCGTGATCCACCCGCCTCGGCCTCCCAAAGTGCTGGGATTACAGGCGTGAGCCACCGCGCCCGGCCTTGGAAGAGGTTTTTTAAGCAAGTACGACCATGGGAAATTCATTGCCTTGGGGGTATAAGTGTTCAAACTCAAGAAGCTTCCTCCCCTCTCAGAAAGAACCCAGAAGACAAATCCAATATTTGTCCTGGAAATATTCTCACCCCCAGCCTCAAGACAATAACTGTGGCAATTATCACAGTTTCCTTTGTAATTTACAGAGTATTTCCTTGATCATTACTATATTCAATTTTTTTCTTTTTTGAGACAGAGTCTTGTACTGTTGCCTGGGCTAGGCTGCAGTGGTGTGATCTTGGCTCACTGCAACCTCCGCCTCCCGGGTTCAGCTGATTCTCCTGCCTCAGCCTCCCAAGTAGCTGTGATTACAGGTGCCCTACCCACCCACCACACCCAGCTAATTTTTTGTATTTTTAGTAGAAACCGGGTTTTGCTATGTTGTCCAGGCTGGTCTCGAACTCCTGACCTTGTGATCTGCCCACCTCAACCTCCCAAAGTGCTCCAGCTGGGCAGATAGAGAAAAGCTCTACAAGTGATAGAGTTAGGCCTGGAGCAGAGGCTTTTGGGCTCTAGTAACATTCTCAGCTCTTGCCTGGCTCTCCATCAGAATCACCCATGGAAGCTTTAAAATCACCAGTCCCAGGTCCTTAACACCCTGAATATCCTCATTGAGAAGATCTGAGATAGGGCCCAGGAACAACAATTTTTCATGAGCTTCCCCAATAATCCTATGTTCCTTTAAAGTTAAGAAACACAGCTCTAACATATTCTTTTTAATCACTGACCTTTGGTCTTCCCTGCTCAGAGCCATTCTCTTTTTTATGTTCTCTCTGTGAAGGCAGTGAGAGCCGCCTTGAAAAGGACCTGCAAATGTCATGGCATCTCAGGGAGCTGCAGTGTACAGACATGCTGGCTGCAGCTAGCTGACTTCCGGGAGATGGGAGACTACCTGAAGGCCAAGTATGACCGAGCACTGAAAATTGAAATGGATAAGCGGCAACTGAGAGCTGGGAACAGCGCCGAGAGCCACTGGGCACCCTCTGAGGCCTTCCTTCCTAGTGCAGAGACGGAACTGATCTTTTTAGAGGAATCGCCAGATTACTGTACCCACAATTCCAGCCTGGGCATCTATGGCACAGAGGGTCGCGAGTGCCTACAGAACAGCCACAACACATCCAGGTGGGAGCGATGTAGCTGTGGGAGCCTGTGCACTGAGTGTGGACTGCAGGTGGAAGAGAGGAGAACTGAGGTCATAAGCAGCTGTAACTGCAAATTCCAGTGGTGCTGTACGGTCAAGTGTGACCAGTGTAGGGATATGGTGAAGAAGTATTACTGCACACGCTCCCCAGGTAAGGGGAGTGCCTGATAATACCCCACACACGTTCACTTGGTTGTGTCAGTGGAAGGGGACATAGCTTCTCTCTCAGACAGAACAGATTGGAAAGCAACTGGAAAATCACAGTGTTGGTCTGTAGTCCTCATAGTATCTGCTATCGGTGGTGAAATGTAGGCCCAGGATTCCACAGCAAATTCCTGGCAGGGCTGAAATGGGAACCTGGGCCTCCTGACTTTGGCAGACCCCCATTTCATCTTTCCTGCAAGCTACTTTCCCGTCTTTGCACCTGTACTTATGCAGCTTACTACAGGGAAAGTTTGGTTTGGGGTCCCTATCTAGAGGGACCTTCAAAGTATTTGTTCCTTTAAATTTCAGACTGTGTCCAACCCAGCATGCTGCTGGGAATCAGGAGAATAAAAGCAAAAAGTGAGAGCTCTGTTCAGGCTCCTGAAGGAGTAGCCTGTGGCTAGCTCCAGACCAGCTACAAACAAATCCATGCTGACAAATGAGGTAAAGACCACATATCTGCCTACCGGGAAGTTTTTAGAGTGTTAGATTTTTCCCCCCACATATACACTTTTGAAAAGCTCTTTCTCCAACCTGAACAACACAGGAAGGCACCATCTCTACACAAAATTTAAAAATTGTCCTGGCGTGGTGGCACTTGCCTGTAGTCCTAGATACTTGGGAGGCTGAGATGGGAGGATCACTTGAGCCCAGGAGATGGAGACTACAGTGAGGTGTGATTGTGTCATTACACTTCAGCCTGGGCAACAGAATTGAGACCCTGTCTCAAAGAAAAAAGAAAAAGAAAATGAAAAAAGAAAAAAAAAGAAAGGTAAAAGAAAATAATTTCTTCCCACTTAAGCCTGGGGAAACCAGCACCCAGTATAACCTGAGGGTTTTTGCAGCTCATAAACCATCTCTGGAGCCATGGAAAGGGACTCGTGGCAGTAAGCGGACAGGAGACTATGACTTACCCAGACAAAGTCCCATAAGAGTGATGCTCCCACCGGGCGCGGTGGCTCAAGCCTGTAATCCCAGCACTTTGGGAGGCCGAGGCGGGTGGATCACGAGGTCAAGAGATTGGCTGGGCGTGGTGGCTCAAGCCTGTAATCCCAGCACTTTGGGAGGCCGAGGCGGGTGGATCACGAGGTCAAGAGATTGAGACCATCCTGGCCAACATGGTGAAACCCCGTCTCTACTAAAAATACAAAACATTAGCTGGGCATGGTGGCGCGTGCCTGTAATCCCAGCTACTCAGGAGGCTGAGGCAGGAGCATTGCCTGAACCCAGGAGGCAGAGGTTGCGGTGAGCCGAGATCGCGCCATTGCACTCCAGCCTGGATAACAAGAGCGAAACTCCGTCTTAAAAAAAAAAAAAAAGAGTGATGCTCCCTAGAGAGCTGGGGACTCCTTGGTTATTTTCCCAGATTGAGAACTCAGCTTTATTTTGCAATAAATGCTTCTAGTACATATCCAGCTGGAACTTCTATTGCTCCCTTTGGAAACCTTAAGATCAGAAAGGGGATAAGAAACCCTGCTTCTCTCTCCCAATAATCAACCAGGATAAAGGGAAAACTAGAAATATCCAACTCCCTTGATTTGGCAGATAATAAAAAATTGAGACCCAGACACTGGTCAACAGGAAAACAATACAGACTCCCACAGTTAGAAAACGTTATTTTAATGGGGAGTAAGGAAGCCCTTTGAACTTGAGCCATATTCAAAGTGTGTTTGCTCTCTTAACTTGGGCATCCTGGGGTGTCTGTACACCAAGGGCAAGAGACAAGGGGAGTTGTGGATTCTGCCTACCTGCATTTGCACTTCTACATCTTCCGGTGGCAATCTTTGGAGGAGGGGTAGTTTCCCATAAAGAGAGCCCTGGGAGCTTACCCACTAGTTTTCTAAATCTGAGTATCTCAGCCTTGGGAATCTCTGCTGTCTGCACAGACCTTACACCATGCTGGGAGGAGATATTTTGAATATGTTGAGTAAAAAGTAAAAATGATCACCAAGAACGGGAAAACACCCCTATCTTATTGTTTTAAATTAGAAAACAATTTAAGTGTTCAAAGTATGATGAGCAAGTAAATCATGAACTTAAAGTAGACTATTAACCACTAAAATATTCTTGAGAAATACTTAGTAACAGGGAAAACATGCATGATAGAAGGGAACAACGCTGATTACAAAATGGCATGTTCAGAATGAATCCGATTTTGTTGTTAAAAATGTGAAAACATTTGCCATTATGTGATACCAAAATAGAATGATTTGCTTTCCTTTTGTGTTTTTCTATATTTTTACATTTGCCTAACAATAAACATTTTTTGTCATCAGAAAGAATTAATGTGTTATTTGTTCTAATGCCAAAAAGGAATAACCAACTTTGTTTTTTAGTGAAAAGGAAGGTGAAATGTTCATTAAGGAAGTTGGCATCTCAAGAGAAACATTTAAAACTACCGCAGATGTCAGAGAACAGATATAAGGACAAATACATAAAAGTGAAGCATATGTCAAGAAAATGACAGATTTCCTCTCTGTTCCTCCTTCAATGGAAAGTTAAAAAACAGGCTCCAGTAGAGACAGAAAAAGAAAATGTGTGTGGTGTGTGCCTGCTTGGTGGTCGTGGAAGGGGGAATGGAAATAGGCAACCAAAAGAAGATTATTTCCCTGGGGTTCAGAAAAAGCAAAAATAAAATTATCTAGCACAGAGGTGAAACCACCCATAAATACAGATGTCAAAGCACCCATCCTGAAGCCTGAGCTGTGACAATGTGCTAGAGAAATGAACATACTAGATTTCCTCCCTGCATTCCTAACTGACTCTCCATCCAAATAACCCAGGCACCTGATGCTTTGACTTTTTCCCCAGAACCTTACTGATGTATCCCAATAATCTTAGGAGGGATTTTCAGAAGCAAAACCATCCTTGCTGCCCTGTTCAAAAGGTCATTCAGGAGAACAAGCTTTGTGTTTACTGTAGGATTATATCAGAGGTTTTCACCAAGAAATCTCAGGGCAATGGGAATCCCCTGAAGTTTGTCTGCTTCCCCAGAAAACTCAGTCTCCTGGTCTTGTCTCCTTCGAAGCCTCTCCCACCCTCATCCATCTTACCTTCAGAGCAATCAATCACACCAACCAATCTTCCCACATGGACCCTGAGCCAGAAACTACAGGAATTTGGATTTTTCTACATCCATCACCTTCCTGTCAAGGATTCATTCCAAGGCAAAACAGCCTCATTCAGATTCATTAGTTACAACCCTACACTCCTTCCCTTTTGGTTCATCCTTAACAAGCTGGCTATCATTAAGGTGACAGAACAGTAAAACCCCCAGGTTCCATAGATTCAGAGCCCAAGACAGGCAGATTGGCCACAATCTGATGATGGATCTTGCAAATCTGCTGAAAAAGTGATCAACTCCATGAGGGAACCCTGTTCATGAGCCTATTCCCCTAGCTCAGTAAATTCAAGCACAGCATCACTTCAGCTGGACAATGGAATTCTGTAGTTGCTCAGTCTAGATTAAAAGGAAAATATGCCTTTGGGAGGCCAAGTCGGGAGAATCACTTAAGAAGGCCAGGAAGTGGCTGGGCGCGGTGGCTCACGCCTGTAATCCTAGCACTTTGGGAGGCCGAGGTGGGTGGATCACCTGAGGTCAGGAGTTCAAGACCAGCCTGGCCATCATGGTGAAACCCCATCTTATTAAAAAAAAGAAAAAAAAAAGGCCAGGAAGTTTGAGACCAGCCTGGGTAACATGATGAGAACTCATCTCACCAACAACAAAAGAAAAAAAAAAAAAAGAGAGAGAGAGAAAAGAAAGAAAAAGAAGCCAGGCCGGGCGCGGTGGCTCAAGCCTGTAATCCCAGCACTTTGGGAGGCTGAGGCGGGTGGATCACGAGGTCAAGAAATCGAGACCATCCTGGTCAACATGGTGAAACCCCGTCTCTACTAA